TTGGCCAGGACAGAGCAACGGTCACATTACTGGCGGCGTCTATATTTGCGACGCTCTGTTGTCCGTGCGAGAGCAGGCCTTGTTTGCTTTACATATAGCCCTGTTTGCTACCGGCCTCAAGTCAAGCCAGACCGCGACATAGCCGTAGCCCTAAACTCTACAAAAGACCCTATATTGCACACACTGACGGTCCAAACTCCGAATCGCCGAAGCGGCTCAACCCAGCAAGGACCCTAAGCAAGCCCAACTCAACTTCACAGTCCCAAGCATAAACCCTGGTTTCGAATCTCGAGATCCCAAAGCTGCCCCACAGACCATATGCAATATTATCCGACCCCAACCCTGAAACCGGTTCAGCTCTAGGTCCGCTAAGGTTCTAGGAAATAATGTAAGCTGCGGTAAGAGGGTAGTTCTCTAAATTAGGGTCCCTTTTAGGGTCCCTTTATATGGATGCCGTACTATATTGAGAACTAAAGGCCGAATCTAGAGAACTACCCAAATAAACCTATGCCTATACTGTCCTCGACACAACACCTGCCTCCCCTACACGGACTAAAACACAATTTACAACCTGAGCCCCCAACAGTAGCTAGCGACACCCCTCCAATTCAGAATCCAGAGACAATATCAACGGAGAGCAAAAGCTCTTCACAACTGCACCTCGGTTCTGGACCTAAACCTCAACAGTCACCAATTGAGTACTGTGAGTCTCCTAGCCCAGCTGCAACATCTAGTGTTGTTCTAAGCCCAGCTGCTCTGACCCCCCGGCCTCTTAAGTCATATCATCCATCAGCAAGCATCCAAAGGGATGCTTGAACTGTTTGCTGTAGGACCGTATATGGGACTTTCCGAAAATAGGGGTACCTTATTTTGGGGTCCTTATAATAAGGATCCTATTATATAGGGTGCTATATTAGAGTCTCCTATTTTTGGAAACCCCCATATGGAAACTAAGCGCAAGCTCGAGGAACTCGGTAACAAGTTTGTACAACCAGCCTTTCGTCTTGATGCCTAGTGTAGACCCCCGCGACTTCCAGCACACCCCTACAAGACCCGAACGCGAAGGGCCCTTCACCCCAAATTTCCCACCAACTCCTGCTTCAAATGCTGAGAACCATCCACCAAAACACCCCAAAAGCCATCACAGCAGGTCCCAAACCCTTGTGCCCGCATAGCGATTAGCGACTGGCTAAACCCTAGTACCTCACAAGATCGTCCTTCTCTGCATCCGAAACCCCATATGGAAAAGCCCTAGATCCCGATAGCAAGACTTCCCTAAATCCTAAACCCTTTGCAGCGGGCCCTTTTATCTTTTTTGCAACTGGGCTTGGGGACGGACCCGTTTGTCACCCTAAACCCTAACCCCAAAACCCCCTAAACCCTAAACCCCCAAACCCTAAACCCTCAAGCCTGAACCCCAAATCCACCTCTGTGGGTGGGCGGCGCTTAAGCCCCTTTCGGGGGGTACCCCCAAGCTCTTTTAGGGCTGCCCTGCCCGTCACTGCCCACCCCCTAACTCGCTTTGACCCCATCCACCCCCCTGCTCCCTGCTCCTCCCCTGCCCTGCCCTGGCTTTCCTAGCCCCTCCTGGCCTCTCCTCGCCTCCTCTCACTACCTGCCCTGCCTTGCCCTGAAACGAAAAGAAAATCATGGAATGAGTTTAGAGCTAAAAACTAAAAGGAATAGGTTTGGGTGGTTTGGCCGCCTCCGACGGCGTGGGGGGAAGGAAAAAAAAGGAGCTCTCCACATTCGAGCTCTAGCAGCGAATCGTCAAACTGCGATGCACTCGAAACTACACTGTCGCTAGATACTTCGCTTATGAGCCACTCTACGGCAAACCCTAAAACCCAAACCCGAAACAGAAACAGCAAAATAAACAGAATCCGAGCGGCGGATGGTGCGACCTAGGGAGGCACCCGGCTGCCGGGGACCCGAGGCAGCAGAGCTAAGCCGATCCTTTTCGGAGGACATGAAGCTTAATACTATATTTAGTGTTTGGGTGTTTTAGGGTTTAGAGGGTTAGAGTATGTTCTGCTGTAAGATGTTATAAGATAGTGTAGTATGAAATAACATGCTATCATAAGCCCAGAAGGGTTTATAAGGATTTTATGTGGTTTCAGAGGATCATGGATCTGGGCTTGTAGGGTGTAGGCTTCCTTCAAAGGGTTGACGGGGAGGGTTGCGAAGTATTGACCAGCAGGGCTAGCTTTTCTCGGGATAACGTTGGGGTTCTAGCGGGGTTGCTTTGTACAAGGGTTCATGTATTTCGACGCGCATACTCGCAACGTGTTTGTAGAATTTAGTGTCCAGGGGTTCCAGGATGGAAATGAAGTAGGAGTCCTCTGTGAAGGGTCCTCGTTCAAGGAACCTTCTGCGTCTAAGTTCGGGTCGCCTGGTTTCGGGTGACAGGCTTTGGGGCTTTAAGATTGCAGTTGGGCTTCAGGCTTCCAGGGTTTAGCATCCATCCATACATACATACATCCATCCATACATACATACATACATACATACATGTATATATATATATAGAGAGAGAGAGAGAGTACTGGTGCGGGTGTTTTTTTTGGTGAACTACCCTGCTTTAGGTGCAGGGCTTCAAGGGTTGCAGGGTCGGTCGTCTGGGGTTTGGGGCTATATGGGTAGTTCTCTAAAGTAGGGTCATTTTTAGGGTCCTTTCTATAAGGGTGCCGTACTATATTGGGGACCCAAAAAGGGGCCCCAGTTTAGAGAACTACACATATGTAGGGTGTGCAGGGGTCTATAGCACTACGGTCCTAAGCGCCTGACGCTCTAGCACTCGGCATACTATAGGGGCCTTAACAATTTGAATAGGGCTTTGGGGCCCATTATAGTAGAATTATAATATTAGTAGTGGAATTATTAAGGCCCCTTAAAGCAGAATTAGAATAAGGAACCCCCAAAATGGTAGTGGTAATCATTAAGGCCCCTATATTAAGGGTTCAGGCCTCGATCTCCACGATGACAGAGATCAGGCCAACAATGGCAACTGCGAATTCGATCCTGTTTCGGACACAGGGGCTGAGGCAGTGCTGAAGATGATAAGATGATTTTTGTGCCCAAATCGCAGCACCATGGTGAAGAACGTAGTGTTATCACCCTGATACCTGGTTGATAGAAGCATTGTGAACGATGTTTACCACCTTGACACAACAGTTTAGAGAGTGGGAGAGGTGAATGAATTTATTCCACACAGGTATGTGTGTATGTATGTATCTATATATATATATACATAGAGTATAGAGTGTATATACATGTATACAGTATGGAGAGAAAGACACTTGTTTTCAGATGTCTGACCTCCGTCAGACATCTGATTGTTCGCGGATGTTGCCAAACACATGGTTGCACTTACGTCGGTGATTCTGAAGGCTGTGATTTATGCTGGGGACAAACGTGAGGAAGTGGATTGCCATCACTCTGGCCACAGTCATCAACATCATCGACATCAACATCAACACCATCATCAACGACAATCGCCGTCAGCATCGCCACCACGTCAACACTTCACCACCATCGCCCCATGATGGCCGTCAACAACACAATTCTGGCCGTCATCCATGTATATACACATACACATATATGTGTCTATGAAGATAACTGTAAATAGACACAGAAACCTGCATATTTAGATCCATTGCTGTGACGACGATGCTCAGCTCTAGTATTGGGTCGTAGGGTCACCCGATCTACGACTATTTTGTGATTGGTGTACCTTCCCTGGGCTTACGTGGCGGAGTTGAAATTAACGCGGTCGGGGTCGTGAACAGTCCCTCCTGCGCCGTATGCGAATTCCAGCCTCTCTGCTTGCTCACGGTGTCAGCACTAGTCACAACAGTGCGGTTGCATTACTTGCAGGAGTAGCAGTAGCAGCCGCAGTCAAAAAAAAAAATCATCCTCTCAGGCGGCAACAGAAGTCAAGGAGTTTTGAGAACAGCTGGGACTCACACGATAGCATGCAACACAGTTGACGACTGCAGCCATCAACATCCAGACTCTTGTTCTGAATCTGAACACAACTCCAAGACAATGCGCTCAAAAGCCTTGCATGATGTATGTACTCCTGCAATAACACTGCAGTAGCAAGTCAGCTAAACACCATTCGCCTTCACCCCGAAGCCCGGCAGCCTGTACATCATGATACATCAGGTCTTCGGTTTAGACTCTCACAACTTGGACGATTTAGGTGAGGGTCAAGGGTTTATTAGGGTTTGGGGCTCAACGAAGCCCTAAACCTACCAAACCTCGGATCTCAAATGCTACCAAAATCACCTGGGTCAACATCTCTACAGCAGCAAGACAGGTGCAAGACAAGCTGCCAATTCAGCACATTAAAGAAGAAACGCCGTCCGTCCTGGCAGGGGGCGGAGTTGTCGGAAAAATAGAATTTCGGGTGTAGCCGGAACGGAACCGTCGCATGGGGTCAAGGCGCAACTGCAATTGGCAAAGCTCGCTTCGACGAAGCTAAGAACAAATAGCTCTAAGCCTAGCAAGGACACAGATAGCCTCATCACAGGATGAATTGCTTACTGCAACAGCCCTTCCTAAACGCCAACGCGAAATCAAGAAGCAAAACACACACACACACACACAAACAACACACACACACACACGCTGATGAAAAGGCTTTACTGTCAAGGGCTTGAGATGGTCGAAGAGAAACGTTGCCCCAGCTGCCCCAGGCAATGCCACAACTACACATGGCGGCGACTACAGCAACGGGTTGGACCAAGGTCTCGACTCATAATGCATCCAAGACCGCATGATCACGGGCGCATCTTTTCTTCTGGGAGCGGCTCACTTCAAGACGCCTCCAGATCAGGTGGCCAGCCATAGCCATGAAAGTTCAATGAACTACATGTCCCATGTAGCTCTACGACCAGCCAACAAGCTGATCAACCCCATTAAAGCATATTAAAGCCCGCTGTCTTTTCAACAGCGCCATGAACAGCATAACCACAAATTGAACGTGTAACTAGCCATCAACAGCTTTGCATGCCTTTGGTGTCCTGTGCGGTCCCAGCCTCCGCGGCCAGTTGCGAGCCGACGTCACAGAAAGCACGATACTGCGCAAAGGTGAATGGGCATTTCATGGATGTGCCCTGACTGCGCAGCCTGGAAGCCAAAGCTTCGACGAAGCTCCTCTGTGGGCCCTTGGCCATTCGCCGACTTCCCAGAGCCCGGCCCTTTGATCGCATGTTGGCCTCGGGTTCCCCGGATCCTTCTGGCCTGTTCCGCGCAGCCTGGACTAGAATAGAGAGCTCCTGCACCGATCGATTCAGCAGGCCAACGGGTTCGGTCGCTAGCTCAGCATAGCGAAAAGGCTGCAGGAGGCGCATCTCTGACAGCATCTTTCGGCGCAAAGCGAAGCCCTCACTTGGTGTCTCGTTTCGCCTTGGCCCGGACTGTGCTGATTGCCCTTCCATGTCCCTCTGAGATGCTTCTCGGGAGTCTGCTGCCCAAGGAACTGGTCCAGACGGTGCTGGCTCCCCAAAGCAAGTCGGCTGCATCAGCTCCTTTTGTCCGAGAGGGCACTCGCCACTCTGCATGTGTTGCAGGAGGGCGGGTACCTGCTCGAAAATGCGGTCCGTCGTGCAGAAGCTGCACATCATGTATGAAAGAGATTCCCTGGGATCATCGACTGGAATGTACCGAATTTGTTGTGCCAGTCCCGTCGAGTGCGACCTTCTGCACTCGGCAGGCACATCTATGGTCTGTGCATTCATTGTCTTCATGTGAGGCTGGAGGCGTTGGTACCTTCGGCTGCCATGGCCCCGTCCCCCATTGCCAGTGCCAGGTCCGCCGCTTTCTGCCTTTTTCCACAAGGAGCGCCTCGCCAGTTGAGTCGACGAGACGGGCACGGATTCGTCGAAAGCCCCCGGAATTGTCTCAGCCTCCGATTCCTCGTCAGCCATCACAGAACCAACCGCACCTAGATCGTGACAAGTACACTCGTTGTTCACATGCAAACGCAACTTAAGACGCATCTTTCTGGGATATATATTCAGTGAGTTCCAAAACTTTTTCAAAGACCATAGAGACATGTTGCGTCGATTTTATCCCCTCTCGAGCCAGAAGCGGACATGGACATCAGGTCCTGGATCCTGCACCAAGTTCTAGTTCAAGCTTTCGAACCTCTTCAATATATCAAACATCAACCGTGCAAGGCAGAAGTTAGGGTGCACAGCGACAGTTGCAAGGACAGAAGCTCCTGCTCTGTGACATGCCGAAGGCTGAAGCAGCGGCGCATCACAACAGCGAGGACGCAACAAAAACCCTAAACCCGAAGTGCCTTCGTGATGCGAAGGACGACGTCCACGACGAGGACGAGAAGAACACTCGCTCCTTTCGGACATAATGTAGGGGCCTTAACAATTAGAATAGGATTTTGGGGGGGCGCATTATACTAAAATTATAGTAAGGATCCCCCCCCAAAATAGTATTGGTAATTATTTAGGCCCCAATATTAAATGCTTTACACGATTTGGGGTTTAGGTTGTACCGGGCTCAGGGTAGCTGAGGTCTGACACAACCTGGAAGCCGCAACTCGGAGTAGCAAGTTCGATGCCTCGCCCGACGCTAGGTGGCCATCTCTTGCAAACGGTTGCTGTGCGCGCTGCGTGGCCGGCCGGGTAATGCTAACAATGAGTAGCAAAACCGTTAAAGTTTTTAGCGGAACAAGTTGGAATCTCTGCTGATAGTTCCCATTACTGCAAAACCCCCAACCCCAAACCCAAACGGGGCAGAGCTCAATCCTTGACGATCCTATGTTATGATGGGGTTAAGGGGCTTGCTGGCAGGCACAACCACAAAGCTCAACAAAAAACAGGCAAGTGCTTCAGTGCAATAACAAAAGCAGCAGCACTTCCGGCAGGTTTCCGAACATGGTGTCCTATAGGCCCTTGTCCAAAGAGTCGGCACGACAACATCCCTCCGCGCAACGCCTCATGCAGCGCGCCTGCTAAAAAAAGGCCCAGCGAGTCCGCTTCGTCTGGGGGAAGGATGAAACTGGCGACCGTCAGGCCTTGGCGCATATTGCCTCTAGTCTCCATTGTAGTCCCTTTTTTGGTTTAACCACTTGTATAAGGATCTTATAAGGTATCCCCACAAAGGAACTACAATGGAGACTATAGGTGTGAACCGAATGCCCCAAGTGAAGCCATGGCTGGACGTGTGAGCCACGTATCTAGAATCCACTGGAATCAGGACACTGTTGATGAACGATTTTGTAGATATGTGGTGGAGAGAATTACTAGATAAATGAAGAATTAGCTTGAGAGCACATAACCAGCAGTCGTGCCTCGACGATGAAAAGCGAACATGATCAAACGTGAGCACTTATGGTCACTTGCCCCTCAATCGGAATCCCAAGCCTCGCAGCAGCATCCAAAATCCTGTGGCCCAGGCCCATGTCGATGCATATCGCAATGGTCACAATTATCTCCCAAATAGCTGACTCCTTGGCTAGTGGCGTTCTAATGGCACCAGGACGGCGTCTCAAAGCACTTACGAGAAAATGCCCAGTTTCACCGATGTCTGCGACTGGAGAGACAATCCCGCCGAAAGCTGTACCGAAGTCTCTATCTTGCGCGTCATGGTTGCATGTTTTTTGTTCGGCGCACTGGCTGCTGAAGGTGGCACGAACGATACGCGGAAAATCAGGTTGAAGACTTTGCAAACTTTGCTGACCATGATGTCGCATAAGCGCCACTGGCTCTTAGGATTGCCCAATGGCTCCAATAAATCGCGAAAACAGTAAACGAGAACATTGCTGACTGCAGACAACCTTCACCGACGATTCGGGATCGCACTTCGACTGTGGGGCCCAAAAACTACAAGGTGGCGATAGCAATAACATGCCTCTTCAAATCCTGCTGCGAACTTCATGGCCATGTATCACATCATCCTCCTCCTCATCATGAACCACATCCGCCATCATCTAAATCACAATCAACATCGCAACTGGCATCGTAGCCATCACCACCGCAACAATCAGCCGCAACTTCTTCGCCCTTGGCAGCATGTGGGAATATATATATATATATATATATATGTGTGTGTGTGTGTGTATACATCTACATATACATACAGATCGGTATTAATCTCGGATTGTTACATACATGCACGCTTGACATGCATGCATGCATGCTTACCTACCTACATATATACATACATACATACATACATACATACATACATACATACATACATACGGACAGACAGACAGACAGACAGACAGACAGACAGACAGACAGACAGACAGACAGACATACAGACTGACAGACAGGCAGGCAGGCAGGCAGACATACACACATCATGCAAACATACATTACATTACATTNNCGGACGGACGGACAGACGGACAGACGGACAGACGGACAGACGGACAGACGGACAGACGGACAGACGGACAGACAGAAACAGACAGAGACAGAAACAGACAGAGACAGACAAAGACAGACAGATACATACATACATACATACATACATACATACATACATACATACATACTTACATACGTACGTACATACATACATACATACATACATACATACATACATCGTACATAAAGACATACAGACACATACACACATATAGGGACATACATACATACATACTTAATGCCAATATGACATATCATGAGTTTCCAGCTCATCATCCTCGACATCATGAAAACCGTGTTCGTGGTCGTGGTCGTGATAGTGGTGTTGCTGGTGGTGGTGGTGGTGGTGCTGGTGGTGGTGGTGGCGGCGGCGGTGGTAGTGCTGGTGGTCGTCGTCGTCGTCATCACTGTCGTCGTGATCGACCTCGTCATTGTCCTCCTCATCCCCCTCCGCACTTTGCATAGTGACTGCTTTCCTGAGGGCATGGAGAAAACTGCTAGCCACCGCCTGAATGAATTCAGCCCTGCAGAAAGCGTCGAAAGCTGGGACCAGCGTAGCTCTGCGGCCTCCAGCGTCCCTTGCCGGTGCTTCTTCGGTTTTCCACGAACACACGCAACCCAATCGAGCAAAGTGAAGCCGCGTGAGATGCCAACCGGCAAAGACTTTTTACTCCTCCAAACCTTCCGAGCCCTGCAAACCGCTGTAATATTGGGGACCTGAATACCCAGACTAGTCGACAGGGTTACTAGCTCAATACAACTGTATCATAACTCTAGCTCTCTCTCTCTCTCTCTCTCTAAGTAAGAGGACAAAGCGGGCAGGTGGTCCCCCTAGCTCCTCGAGCGCGGACGCGCACCTGCGGGTCACGGCAGGGGTTTCTCAACTCCGACAAGGGGGGTGCCCCCCTATCGGCTCGGCTATAGTTACAGGGCCGGTGGAAGCGTAGACTCATGCCCCCCATACAGCAAGAAACTGAAAACCCTTGCTGAGGCTGTGACTGTTAGCTGTAGTAATTAACTACTGTAACACTCAGGCCACGTCCATGTTTGAGGGGTTGGTGTAAGGCAACGACGAAGTACGTTATAGCATCACAGATCCCCCTGGTTCGCACACCTCCGAAGACACGCTCTAGCTCTCTCTCTCTCTCTCTCTCCCTCTCTCGCTCTGTCGCACTTTTTCCTGATGGATCCATCGAGTTTCCGCGGCAGCATACCTTAAACAACCAGGCTCTCCAGCGTCCGGACTACCTTTCATTTGCCGGGCCGTCCAAGGGCGATACCGTGCTTTTGCTCTCCGCCCACTTTAAGAGATGTAATTAGCCTCCACAATACAGCACCGTAAATTGCCGTCTATCTTTCCTGGACCTACAAACCAAAACTGAAGCCCAGCAACGAGAACCTACAGGACAGTGGCCTCTGAACCCTGACCTTTTTGCGGCAGGCTTGCAAGCAAGAACGCCTGGTAGTTCGCCACTAAACCAGGAAACCGTTCTGAAAGCGCAGCAGAAACGAGTGCGCGAAAACGGGCCACTCTGAATTGGAAGATAAACACCAACTTTTCTGCAAGTCGTACACTGGCCAAGGCTCGACAATAAGCACTGCTCGACCGCGACAATTCGTTGCCTCGGGGTTCTCGGTAATCCAGTACCTCAGAACTCCACAGCGACATGCTACTCGAGCTGTCCCAGATGGTGCTGATTGCAGCCGTTTTTATGTATTCGTTGCCAACATGTGTGGCTCAAGTCCCTTCAGCCACATGATCACATGAGCGGGAGTTCCGTCTCTATTAGGTCATAGTAAGGAACAGCCTGATTGCGAATAACGCTACACTGTCATCATGCTCGGTGTTCCTTTTACTCCGTCGCTGCTCACCTGTTGAACACGTGCTGCCACCAAAACAGATGCCAGAGCAAGACGGGACCGAGACACGCCCGTCGGTTGCGGAGGGTCTCCGCATCAATGTGTACCGCCTGCGAGTGGCTTTTGCTCTGTTTAGGCATAGGCAGCCAAGGTTCCATCTGTCACGCGTATCGGCTGCCTAAGCGAACATCGAGGGTTTTGAGGAAGCCCTGTATTTACTCGTGGTGATTCTCCACGGGGTCCGGGTGTGCCCCCCACACTTGAATGACTAGAAGCTCGAAACCCCACACGCTGAAAGCTAGATTCGATCAGAAGATCCTGAAGGTGGATGTGAAAGCAGCAGCTGGCCTCGATAACGGAGAAGTGTGTCGGCTTCCTTGGGAGGACTCCGTACTGACAAAAACGAGAAACAGTGGTGGTGGTTGTGGTGGTGGTGGTGGTGGGGGTGGGGTGGTGGTGGTGGTGGTGGCGGTGGTGTCGGTGGTGGTGTCGCTGCTGTCGCTGTCGCTGTCGCTGTCGCTGTCGCTGTCGCTGTCGCTGTCGCTGTCGCTGTCGCTGTCGCTGTCGCTGTCGCTGTTGCTGTTGTTGTTGCTGCTGATGTTGTTGCTGTTGTTGACATTGTCGTCGTTGGCGTCGTCGTCATCGTCCTCGTAGTCGTGGTAATGGTCGTTGTTGCTGTTGCTGCTGGTGTTGTTGTTGTTGTTGGTGGTGGTGCTGCTGCTGCTGGTGGTGGTGGTGGTGCTGGTGGTGCTGGTGGTGCTGGTGGTGGTGGTGGTGGTGGCGGTGGTGGTGGTGGTGGTGGTGGCGGTGATAGTGGGTGGTGCGGTTATTGTTGCGGCTGTATTCGTCATCGTTATCGTCGTTGTTGTTGCAGCAGCACGAAGAGCGGCACGACCAAGCACCACACAGCCAACCCACTAAACGCCAGCATCAACAACAACAACAACAACAACAACAACAGCAACAGCAACACCAACAGCAACAGCAACAGCAACAGC